AATGAAATTTCATAGAACCATGTAACTTGCAGAGAAGTACTGAAATTTTCTCAGTCTTAGGTCTGCTGTTACTCAGTTCCCCAAAGCTCATTTTATAACCTGTCAATCTCTGACCCTCTTCGAAATTTCTTTAAATTCATGCTTCAATCAACCACCAAATTTTCATGCTTCAGTTAGTCTTTCAACGTCTTCGTCTATATAATAGCGTAAAACTTTTTCCTCTGCGAAACAGATATTAAGTAGACGCGTCTCCAAAGTTGTAAGTATTTTATAAAATATGTTTGAAAATGAATTCTTGCAAGATCTGTTCTTTAAAATAAACCTGAAATGTGATGTAGTTTATTTTTTATGTACAGTGTCCGTATGATAAAAACGATATATTAGTTATTTTTAATACTCTCAACTCGGCAAAATCCACAGAGTTTGGAGAAGGTTTTCTTGGTAGGCCCGAAAACCCTAGAAGATTTAAAAAAGAACTTTTGGCAACTAAGGTAAAACTACTGAAAACGCATCACTTTTAGCCACACTTCCAGTAGTATCAATATAATCTTAAATAACTTCACTAATTCAGTATGAACTCAAGTCTGACTCCTATAAAATTCAAAATAAAAGTAAACCAAAATGATTGGCAAAAACAACTTAACGCAGAAGTAATCAAAGTACTGTAAAAAGTCATTTTTCCGTTTCGGCAAAAGAGAAATCTGTACCAAACCCTGAAGAAATCGTACGTTCAATGCAATTAAAAAAATTTATACTTTGAAGCTAAACACATTCTAAGCTGTCACGATAACCATTACAAAACTCATCAAAAATTTCTAAAGTTAAAGTTTTTTGAGTTACCTGAAAAATTAGTAATTACAAATCTTTAAAAACCATTACTGAAATAGATGTTTCAAAGTTGCTTGTCGTATTTGAAGCACACAAATTATTGCTTATAATCAAACCTACCATCTTTCAGATATGTAAAAAGCGTTCAAGATATTACGTAGAGCTAGAACACTTCAAATACAATCGCCTCTAGTTATTAATACATAGCAGAAATAAGAGATCAGTGATAAGAATAAATACATTGATATTAACAGCAATCTTAAATTACTTAGTGCAAATTACTTGTAACAAAATAATTGTTGCAAAACATAAAGACTGGTTTGTTGGAACTAGAAAATGAGCAAATATTACCGTACAGTATATACTGGCAGCAAAAATGTACAGAACAAATGCAACAATTGCTAACCAAGAGTAAATAACAAATTCCACTCCAACATTTTCACCAGGCTAAAAAAGTAAAAAGTGACATATAATTTAGAAATATTTTTATTGATTTGCTAATTCTTAAAAAGTAAACAAAAGAAAAATGATTTACCGACAGAGCACAGATTTAGCACGTTGTCCATCTAACCGAGCCTCTCACGAAGTTCAATCTTTGAAATAAATGGTTTGCTTTGTCACTCGTTACAGCGGTCAGCTCCATATTTATGAAATAAAAACTACAAAAAAAATCTGGGTGAAAGATTTAGAAAATGTTACATATGGCACGTTACGTATAGCAATCATCTACAGAAAAAGGTGTTCTCTAAGAAACGCATATTAACCAGCAATATTTTTTAAACAACAAGTTCGCTTTTTTGCTTTGAGAGAACGTTGGCATGAACAACGAAAACTATTATTCAAACAGACCGAAAGGAATAGTACACTAAAAGACAACTTTAAACGTATTTTGGAAAGAAGACAAAACAAGAAAAAAAAAGCACTTCAACTCAACATTACTCTTTTAAAAGATCTCCGCGAAAAATTATCAGTTTTGAAGGGCTACAGAAATAAGAAACTCTAAATTATAAGGAATCTTTTGCGTTTGTTAGTCATACGAAACGTGAAATTTTATTGAGTGGAGGAATTTGCTGGGTACTCGCTTGTCATAAGGTTGAAAAACGTACCAGTGAACTTAAACAACGGCAAACAGAAGAAGCCTAACCTTTGCTTGTTTGCTGCGCTACCTTCTTGCTTTCATTTTCAGCATTCCCTGTACAGGAATTATTTCTCCTCATATGCCTCTGCAACAGATGTTCTATTGTTCTAGAAATTTCGTCTATCTTTGTCACTTCTGATTTTTCTGGAAAACCTGCAAAGAGCGCTACGGTTTAAATTTTAAGGTAAAATTGCCAGCTGCGAAAGACATTTAAGAGTGCAGTTTCCGACGTGAGAGCATCAGTGGAAATCCAGACAAGATTCGTTACAACTATTTGTGCAAAACATTAGATAATTTAGTGTAAGTGTCTTCCTGGCTACAATTTTTTCTTCTTTTTTGTTTGTGACTTTTTAACACATTTTCTATTATTATCAGAAAATTTACTTGTCTATTAATTACTATATTTTAACAATCTGTTTTAATCACACGTCTTAGTCGTTGGTTCAAAATCATAACAAGTCATTTGTAATGTTCATGTGATGTAAATCTTATATTTGGATGAATCTGGATCTTTCAGATAAAAGTTATGAGAAAATACTTTTGAAATGGAATGCAATAATAATTATAAAAAAATTTTGGTTAAAAATGCATTTTAAAGCTACTGTCGTAAAATATCTTTAACTTCACTAGTAATTTCTAGAGTAGCCGATGTTATTCTGTTCGGAACCGTCTAAAAAAAGTATAGTCTGCTTTATAGGCTCCAAGGCCAGTGCGATTAGAAGAGATGTATGCAAGCATTAAACTTTGTTTTTTGTCTCAAAACAAGAATTCTTCAGAATGAAAAGTCATCAAAAATTATAGTTTGTTTCCAACATAGTCTTCTCAAAGTTTCGGCAAGCAGGGAACTGTTCTTGTGGTGGTAGAACCAGTATGGTTTTTATTTTCTAAAACACTAGACACTTTTATTGCTCCAAACTGAGTGGTTCACGCAAGCTGCAAAACTGCACTGATAGTGTATAGTAAAGGACATTTTGGAAGCGCTTTTTGAGTGACACTTATAAAAGCTGTACAAAGGTAACTGTTTTGAATAGTTAAGTATTTGTGCCAGTAAGGTCTCGTCTATCAAAACGCTCGCAGCTCCCCTTTTTTACTATATTATTTGTAATAGTGTCAAAAGAACTAGTGCATTATAAATTCAGCCTAAATTGCCAAACTAATACAAAATTCAGCGTTGATCTGTTTCATAGTCAGAGGGTGCTTTTCTTGTGGCGCTTTCACTGAAAACTGTTATGGTCGACCCTTACCGCCACATTCTCTTTTCCTGACAGGATTAAAGGACACCCCTTGCTAACCACCACTTTTTAGTATTAAAGAGGTTGTAGAATCTAATAGCTTTTAAAAAATAACATTTATTTCATATACTTGAACGTTTCATTCAACGGTGAGATGGTACTGAGTTTTTTTATGATTGTGACACTTTGTTCAGTGTCTGAGACACGGTTACAATTGTTTTGGCCGAAATGAGCATCAGTAACGTTGCAAACCTAATAACAAAGCAGTTGCCGCAGATTAACACGTGCGGCTCCTAACACACATATGTATTTGACGTGTCTTTCTGTAATCTGGCTTTCTTCTAAGCTGCTGAGATAGACAATTAACTGTTAAAGGCAGAAGAAAAAAGATGTTACAACGTAGTCAAATTTGGTGAATGTACAGAAGTGTTCAGATCAGCGAAAATTGTTTGTTTCAATGATTCTCCTCGCGCAGGACAAACGGTGAAAAAACTGCTTGTTTCTTATCAGAGCATTTTTTTCATAGCTTCTTGTAAAGCGTTTTGTTTTTCTGAAAACCAGAATGTAATTGAAAGATACAATATTTTTAAAATCAAATTATCTGCAAAAATCTTTATTCGGGCTTCAGCTATAGCACTATTGTTGTATGCAACTGTATCTTTTAGCGGGATTGCTGAGTTATAGATCATTATTTTATTAATTTTATGTGCAAGTATTTTTTATTTTTGGCAGCTTATCCTGAGCCTTTTTCAGTTATGATAACTTTTTAAAGAAGGTAACTTGTAAAATACTGAAAGGTTTTATCTTTTATTATTTTTACAACTTGTCTCTTGCTTCTTTCTTATTCTCAATTTTTTATTTAGTTTTAATAACTTTTTCAAAACTAAAAAAGCAGCTCTTTCATCTTTCAGCTTTTATGCGGCAGAGAAAAGATACTGTAGCAGTCAGTCGAGAGATTAACTTTTAAATGGTTTTTTTTTTTTTTTTTTTT